AAAAACACAAAACAAAAGAAGTTAATCATGATTATGTCCTTTTAGCATCACTCATTTTATTTTTTATTTTTTTTCCAAGGCACTTTTTTCTTTTAAGAAAAAAACCTGCCTAGCACGGTGAACTTGTTCGCGCCGCTTATGTTCGCGTAAACAGCTCGCGAACATGTTCGAGCGAACATTTTTTTTCTTCGTTAAAAAAAAAAATAATTATTTTGTTTTCAGGTTTTGATTCTTAACTCATGATTGGCTACGAATTTGAACATGAGTCCAAGGCAAAAATTGCTTGTATTGTTATTTTACATAACATATATTGTTTTGAGAAATTTCCGATAGTTTTTTGTTTTTTTAATATGTTTTATGTTAGCGTTCGGAGGGTTTTGGGCGCTTGTTCACGAACGGTCTACGTAGAAAAAAACTAATCTATATTATTCTCACAATCTATTAATGTATATTATTCTGCATCTATCTTATCTATCTCATCCTCTCGCTGCACTATGAATAGTATGGGGGAACACCAACCAAACCTGAAACTCTCCTCAGCCCACAGGGTAGGTTTGCACCACATCAGTGGTGCGAGAGCAAGGCTTGTATCAGCCCCCTTATCACGACGATGTACAGGGAAAACGGGCGATGCTAGTGCCGGGCATCTTTGGTCACTCACTCACGCCTCCCCCTACCCACCTCCAACCCCACATTAGCGATGTCTAGCTGGTAGGGGGGTCAAGGGGTTATCGCTAGCTGGTAGAACACCAAGCATACCCAGGCACCTACATGAGGCCATTGGGGATTGAACCCACAATCTCGTGAATGCAACTTTCGCGCCTCATCTTTTTTTTTTTTTTTTTCAATTTGCATCATTTCTCTATTTATGCTTGTGCGCAGCCAGGTATGGCTGCACTTAGGGGGGTTGCGACTTTCTGCACATTTCCAGAAAAAAACGTCCAGATTCAGGCGTTGAGGAAACTTTCCGTTTCGAGAAATGTTTATAGATGGGAAAAGCGGCATGTACAACGTCGCTGCCGCGACGGGAAACGCGGCAATGTACATCGTCGTTGCCTGCCAACGGTCGGGTATGGCCATGGGAATATATGTCGACGGTTTGGGGGGGGAGTGGGGAGGGGGAGCTCTGTCTTTCAAAGCATAATCACACACGGATTTTTCCGAATGCATCTAACTGCAATCACGGCTCGCGCTGGATGCATTCTACAACAAAGGCATCCGGAGCTCGGTCGAAAATATGCTAGGGTGAGTACGCCCTCGTCAGAGGACATTTCCCGGAGAGCATAATCGCACAGGGACTTTCCCAGATGCATCTGACTGCAGTCACGGCTCGCGCTGGATGCATTCGACAGCAAAGGCGTCCGGAGCTCGGTCGAAAGTATGCTAGGGTGAGTACATCCTCATCAGAGGGGAACAGGGGTTGCTGCCATTTCCCGGATGCATCTGACCACAATTATGGCTCAAGCAACACTATCAAGTCAGCACTCTCTACGGTAGCATAGCATGAATTTCACCTGCCGTCCGACCACTTTCATTCTTGGCGGGCCTGTGCAAACTAACGAGGAAAAATCAGAACAGCCCAGTGAGGTCGGATCCAGGACGAAGTCTCGACGGTTTGGGGGGGGAGTGGGGGGGGTTGGCCCAGAAAAAAAACGTTGGTTCAAAAAAAAAACATCCGGGGGGCGTACCTGGCTTAAGTATGGGCGGGTTGCGACTTTCTGCACGTTTCCACTGTGTACTTCTCCGCATACGCGCCCAGATTTTTGATTCGGGCGTTGTTTGGGCGGCCATTGTAGTCGGTCTGGCGACCCGTGTGTGTAGCCAACCGACTACGATGGCCGCCAGAACAGCGCCCGAATCACGAATCTGGGCGCCTATGCGGAGAAGTACACAGAGCCGAAAAGAATCTTGCCCATACTTAAGTCGGGTACGTCCCCCTGATGTTTTTTTTATGAACCAACGTTTTTCTTTGCCCCCCTCCTCCCCCCCCACTCCCCCCCCAAACCGTCGAGATGTATGCCCAACCGTTGGTAGGCAACGACGCGGCAACGACCCTGTACATGCCGCGTTTCCCGTCTATAAAAATTCTCGAAACGGAAAGTTTCCTCAACGCCCGAAGCATCTCAGAAAGTCTATTTGAGCGGGGGCTCCAATAGTAGCATATGCTTTTCAAGAAAAAAAAAGGGGGTGCCCTCATTGGTGGAGAGCTGCACCTGCTGGAAACCGCTCGGGCCACTACAGCTGGGGACAGGTCGAACAGGTGATGAGTGATGCTTTCAAAACTAGATACAGGACCTGGAAAAGATGACCAAACCGACCATGCTGGAAAATATGAGCAGCGGGGAACCAGCTTTGCACTTGCGCAATACGACCATACGGCCTTGTTTTTCCCTTCCTTTTTAAAAAATTGCAACAACAGCCTCACGGCCGCGTTCTGAAACACGAATGTGGAAAATACTGAGTTGATTATCTCCACAAACAAGCAAGAAAGCATCCGGTTGAGTAACACGCTCAAGCCGAGCGATACTGAACCCCTCGTGACCATGCAGCATCAAGCACCCAGAAGTTTGACAAATATGCTCAGAAAGCAGCAGCGAATATCATAACATCTAAATGGGGCATAGATAGGTGGGGATGGCGCCAACAAATGAATTTCCTGCAAGCTCATCCTCTAAAGCAAGCAACCTTGCGCTCGGTGCGTAGCCTGTGTTGCTTTTATTATTATTATTATTATTGTTTTGTTTTTTTTTTTAATCAAAACTTGATTCCTTATAGATAAATAAGAAGAGGCCGGGGACCTCACAACTCTACCCGGATGAACTGGCAGCATCAACCAGCTTAGCTTACAGGTTTTCACCTGCGGGAAGTTAAATTTACCAACTTTCCAGGTCCTACTCAGCTCTCTGTCTGACATTTGAGCCTAGCAACCCAGCACTTCAGAACGTTACCACTTTACCATTGACACTAAGTAGATGACCGTCCATTCGAGCCAGCTGCACAGGCTGACCCATCTGAGACCCTGACTTTCTAACCTGTACTTCTGCTTCAGATCCACTCACTCAAGCATGGCGTGATAGCTGAGTGACTTACCAGGAAATGCGCAACTTGACCGGGGGTCATGCCAGTCTTTTGTGAAGCACAATCCCCCCTCCTTCTTCTGATTTGTGTTATTTGCAGCTCTGCTTCCTTCATTCAGCAGACAAATGTCTGACGCCTTTGATATTCTGGTTCTTTTCTACAACAGTTATGATTGTTGGCCCACAACACCAGAACAACATCTAATGCGTCCCCACTTGCACAAGGCCAAAAGACTTCAAATGTCAGAACCCGCCTGGACAGTGCAGACATCTCGGGGGTGCAAGAGAAGAACAATAATGGATTCGAACTCCGATCGATGACATACGGACTTCCATACACAACAAATGGCGGGATCACATACCCCGCCAGTACTTCCCACTGTGCTACCGGTAGGCTTCTTGAAACTGTCCTACCGGTCCCCCCAAATTTAGGACGGCGGGGGGAGTGGTGGTTTAGAGCTGTCTCCTCCTCGTGTATGTGGGACAACCTTATCACTACGTTATTCTCTTCTCTCGGTGTCACCCTTCCCGGCCCCCTTGGATGGATCGACGCCCTGGCTACACTCACTGTGGAAACCTAAAAAGGACGAGTTACCCAGTAAGTGGCAAAAAAAAGACCACTTACATCTATAAGATGAGCGAAGTCAGAATGAATCTCTCTCTCTCTCTCTTCCCCTGCTTCGCTGCAGCCGTGTACGACTCTTGCTATCCATCTATCCCGTTTCTCTCTCTCTCTCTCTCTCTCTCTCTCTCTCTCTCTCTCTCTCTCTCTCTCTCTCTCTCTCTCTCTCTCGCGCGCGCGCGCGCGCGCGCGCGCGCGCGCGCACAGCGCAGGGGCAAAACGCAAAGAAAACCTGCGCCGCTAGGGGTGAAACGCAAATAATGAAAGCCTGCGAAAAGTTGGCAAGTACGAAAACATTTTGCAAATATGGACAGTACCCGATCTTAGGAAGAAAAACTATATGACCTGCAATTGCTACAGCGTAGCCTCCATTTACTGAATTAACAAAAAAACCTTTTACGCGATTATTGTCATTTCACCATATTTGTGTTAATTCAGTCCAAACTAGTTTATTTTTGCCTATCCTTTTTATTTGTTTAGGCAAAATCTTTTTTGGTTCACCAAACACTCCTACATGACAGGTTTTGTGTCAGCAGAGTGTTCCCATCTACCCAGATCTTTTATGTACGTTTTGGCATATAGCTCAACTTATAGGGGTGTCTCACAAATTGTCCATTTTTTCTTCCGTCGTTGCGTAGGGGACAAGGTCCAGTAGGGGCGATGGGTTCCCTCAATGCCTGAATGCGGCCGTGTTTTGGAGTTCCTTCCATTTCCGCAACTGCACATTGCGAAGCTCTCGTAGGCTAGTCGCCGGTCCGCCCCCGACCTGGCTGCGCCCCCACGCCCGAGCGTGGTATCAGTCATCCTTGCGCAGGGGCCATGCTAATTACCCTTCTCTGTATCGTTCCAATTTTAACGGATGTCCCGAAAGACGCCTCAAGTTTTTCTTTCCGGATCGTGAGGCTCGACCCTGAAGATGGCCCTACTACGCTAGCGTCTGGCCACATCACACGGGCGTGGAAAAGACGTCAACGGCCTACCGCCTGCTCCCACGATGGCTTTCTACATGTATCTGACTCCTTTTACAGCCACGCGTGGACGCACCTGACCACAGCTTCGATTACATTCAGTGCAGATAAGTTGAGAAAATCTTAGTGTGAGTATGCCCTGAGCGCGTGGTATCTTTATCCATCCGACTTGATACAGTAGGAGAGCGGAGGCGCTTCTCTATGTCGAAACCGCAAGCGACAAACTACCGGCCTCGCCTTTTATAAACTGTGGAGGGAAGGGTAGGTGGTTCTCTCTCGAAAGAGCGAGCGGTAGCGGCTGGCGGGGGTGGTGGCTTACGGGGGCAGGTACGGTGATAGGTTCGGTGTTGGTGTTTGGACTCAGTGTGCGCGAGGAGAATAGTCGACGTGGACCTCGGGTCTGGTCTGGCTATGGCGGTCACCGCGGCCTGTCCTTGCCAATGGAGGCAGCAGGTCGGCGCAGCACATGCCACGTGGCACGTCAGCGGCTCTGCTTCAACGGGCCAAAGTCAGGGTAGCAGGAGAGAAGCAGGAGGAGGAGGAGGAGGAGGAGGAGGAGGAGTAGGAGAAGGAGGAACAGTAGGTGGTGGAGATGTGAGGGTTTGGCAGGGGAACTCGCGAGCTGTGTGCTGTGGAGCTCGACGGCGATGGCGGACGATGACGTGTCAAGCAAGCAGCAGAAGTTATCACTCAGCTGGCAGCTCAGAGGAACCGGTTAGGTTTGTGACTGCTGCCTCTGCTATTGGAACGAGGAGGATTTGGCGGGAAAGGATAGACAGTAGCGCGGGAAGAAGCAGTAGCGTGGCTATGGCGGCGCCGCATTCTGTGCAGGTCTCATCGTTCAGGTCCTGGAGGCGGGAGATGAGAGAGAGAGAGAGGATTGCACCGCGGATGTCACCAGATGAAGAGCAGATGACCAAGCGCTCACCGTTAGACTTCCCCGCTGTATGATTCTCCTCCTTTCTTCCCAAGTTCCTTCCTCCTCTCGCTTCTTCTCTCCCCTCCCTTTCCTCCCTCCCATTTCTCCTATCTCCTACTCCTCTCTCCTAGTTCTCCTCCTCTCTCTTACTTCTCCTCCTGTCTCCTGCTTCTCTTCCTCTCTCCTACTTCTCCTCCTCTCTCCTACTTCTCCACTCCCTCCTTTCCCCTCCCCTTCCCTCCCTCCCCTCTCTCCCCTCCCTTCTCTCCTCCTCCTCCTCCTACGTCTCCTACTTCTGCTTCTTTTCCTACTCCTCTCACTTGTCTCCCTTCTCTCTGATTTCTTTGTTTCGCCGATTCATCCTCTTCGTTTTATATTGCCTTGAAGTCTTCCTCCTTGTCCTCCTGCTGCTCGCCCACCTATTTTTCTTACTCCCTCTCCTCCTCCTCCTTCGGGTTCTCTTTCTACTTATCCTCCTCCTCCTCCTTCTTCGCCTACTGCTTCAGGTACTCCCACCTCTTCTCGTATTCTTACTTCAACCATGTCTTCGGGTTCTCTTTCTACTTGTCCTCCTCCTCCTCCTTCTCCGCCTACTGCTTCAGGTACTCCCACCTCTTCTCGTATTCTTACTTCAACGATGTCTCCTCCTTCTCCTCCTCCTCCTCCCCCTCCTCCTCCTCCTCCTCCGCCTCCTTCTCCTCCTCCTCCTCCTCCTCCTCCTCCTCCTCCTACTACTACTACTACTACTACTACTACTACTACTACTACTACTACTACTCGTCTTGCGCCTGCTATTTTTCGCACTCTACTTCTTCTACTCTCTCCTCCTCCTCCTCCTCCTACTCCGACGTCTCCTACTTCCCCTACTTCTCCTACGTCTGCCTCTTCTCCTACAACTGCTACTCCGTGTTCGAGTTTTGATCCTACAGTCTGGAAGCGTTAGCGTCCGTTTCTCGTCTCTCTTGCTCGCCGCCACTTAACTCTCTTGCCCCCGCCCCTCTTCTCCTTTCCCTACCACTCTCGTCCTCCTTGTTCACCGTCTTTTGCCCTCTCTCATCTCTTCCTCCTCATCTTTGTCTCTTCTCTTCTCCTCTTTTTTGTCCTTCGCTGTTGTTCCCATTCCACGTGGCCGTCCCACATTTGTTGTTTCTCTCAGCCGACGTGGCATTAAGGTCATCGTAAACTCGCAGTGACGTAATTATGTTTTACTTTCCTTCCCCTCCCTCCCTCCGTCCTCCCCTCCCTCTCCTTCTCCCTCCCTCCCCATCCCTCCCTCCCCTTCCCCCTCCCTCCCCTTCCCTCCCTTCTATTCTACCAGCAA